CCTGCAGGGAGCACCTCTTTTCTTTCTTAAAATTTAATTTTCTTTCCATTTCCTATATCATTTGGAGCCTTTATGATAAAAATCAGCATTTTATTATAGACTGTTTTGCATGATCCTGTGCCATTTCAATGCATTAATTTGGTATTCCACATTTAATTTGAAATCAGCCAACAGGATTTTCTTGTCTAGTTTTCTAGGGGCAAATACTGAGGTACACAGTACTTTGGGAATAGCTCTTGTAAAGAGAATATTCAGAGTTACTCATTCATTTGATAAATGTTTATTGAACACCTACAATGTGGAAGCAATGAACTGGAGCCCTGGGAATATAGGATGAGCAAGACAGATACATTTTCTGCCCCATACATCAAAATCCATTCTATTAAGGAAGTGCTTATCATTTCTGCTGGCTTCCCTGAAAACTCGCCTTGATTTGTACCCTCTGAAGAAGTCTGAGGATGGTAAATATTAACTATTTTCCACACAAACTTAATCTCAGGTTATAACGAAAACAAGTCTCAGAAACTTTTTTCAACACAAACAAAAAAGATTCATTAGCAATTTGTACAATCTAGTCCAGAGGCTCTGTAATCTCACCCTTCTGAGCTCTAGCACCAGACACCAATGGTTCACTGGAAGCAGATGTGATGACCTCCATACACAAGACCCAGCAGACACCTAGCAACCAAAGGCAGTAGAGAGACCAAGCTCTGACCCCCAACCTCAAGGTGTAAGTCACAGCCTCATTAGGTTCTTAGTTTTTGTTTTGTTTTGGTACTGGGGATCAAACTCAGGTCCTTGCCCTTGCGCAGCAGGCGGCGAAACCACTGAGCTAAATCCCCTGCCCTTCATTAGTTTCTTATAACCTGTGTGTGGAAGTGGGCTGATCTTTGAACTGTTTCAGCTAGTCCGTATTTCTTCAATATCTTTAAATTCACCAATGTAAACCCAATTCTAACATTTATTGTAGGCCACTACATTCACCATTAAGAACCCATTTCTAGCCAGAGTTGTAGCTCAGCGGAAGAATGTTTGCTTGCCTAGCATGCATGAGGCCCTAGGTTTGATCCCCACCACTGCAAAAAATCACCACCACCAAAAAATCACCACCACCACCACCAACAAAATATTAGACACTCAGTGTACTACTAATTAGCATAGTGCGGTCATTGATCAAGACAGTTAACCACAGAGCTCGGAGTGGTCCTTCCTGTAGTCTGTGCTGCCTGACTGGAGAGACAGCAGGACCATCCCTGGACTACACTCTCCAGATCGGTCCCCTGGCCCATAGCACTGTCTGTGTAACATACACACCAAAGGGGGCTTGGGCCGGGGGTTTAGCTCAGTGGTTCCACTGCCTGCCTCGCAAGCTCAAGGACCTGAGTTCCATCCCCATGTACCAAAAAACAAAACAAAACAAAACAATACATACCGAAGGGCATCCCAGTAGGTGAGCTGATATCACAACAGTAACAAACTTCAGTTCACACAGCCATGTTCTCCTATGTGTAGCATTCCTCTCCGGGCTGCAGAACTGCGAAATTCACATTTTTGGCACCACATTTGTGAGTCAAGAGTTCAAAGCTGGGGGACAACGAGAGGCTCCTTACGTTGCTGTTGAGAGGTGTTAACGAGACAGAATGGTGCCCACAGCAGTGCAGGCTAGCTTGGTGAGCTCTGCATCTGTCCTCGTGCAGAGGGTCTAAGTTCCCATTTCAGCAGCTCATTTGGGTCAGCTAAAATGGGGGGATGCTAGTCCCCCTCGTCCACAGGGGATCATTTCAAGATGCTCAGTGGATGTCTGAAGCCACCGACAGCAGTGAACCCCAAACTGTACAGATACCACGTTTTCTCTTGGGCAGACACACATATGATAAAGTTTAATTTATAAATTAATAATAAGTGATAATAAAATCGGACAATTATAATAAAACCATTATAAAAGTTATGGGAATGTGGTCTCGCCCATCCTCAGGATCTCTTACTGCACCATACAGTAGGGCTCAGTTCTATGTGCAGCTGAGTGCAAATAACTGAAACCACAGAGAGCAAAACCTGGGGCAGGGAGAGCGCATGCGTACACTAACCCAAATCACGCTGCCTCTAAATCAGGTCTTGGAATCTGTGTGCCTAAGAACGAGAATTAGGCGTTAGCTGGCTACCCTGTGACTCTGGGGAAAAACAGAGAATGAGGCAGTTCCTTTACCCAGGTTATGGGAAAGTTTGATGGATTCTTCAGCTTCCAAGACAGGGGGTCCCTCTGTGGTCTGCCTGAAAAACTCCCAACATCTACCTTCCATCGCTGACTCTGTATCAAGGGTGATTGCGGTCGGCAGTGTTTTTCCTTTCTTAGCATCATATAAAATGGACATATCTTACAAAGGATGGACGCATGCATGGCCTGAAACAAGTAACTGCCCTTGTGTTAGTCCTCTGAGTCACCTCACTCTCTGCAGTACAGGGACATCACAGTTTTCTGAGGACCCAAATTTCCCTTAGCGGCGGTTATAGAAATCTCTCAGGCTCACTTCTGCAACAAGTTCTACCTTTTCTTCAAGTTGTTACTAATCTTCCTTTTAAGGGTCACGACCTCTCCTTAGCTCTGAGTACCAGAGGCTGCCTGGGCACTCAGGGGCATTTGGCATTCCTGCACTCCGGGAGGCTATGGCAGGAGACACCCAAGGTCAAGCTCAGCCTGGGCAATTTAGCAACTCAGTGAGACCCTGTCTCAGAAAGAAAATTTTAAAAAAAATTAAAAGGACTGGGGAGGTAGGTCTGGTGCAAAGGCCCTGGGGGCAATCTCTAGTACCTCCAATAAAAAACCACCTCAAAACAAATGAACAAACGAAAAAGACATTTGGCAGTAAGAAATACAAACTCTCTACTCAGGTTGTTCCTGGTCAAACTGCCTGCTGTGTCATCATCTTGGTTGTCAGTTTTAGCCAGGATATGTTGTCTTGCTGCAACAAAATTTAAGACATTAAAATGATCTAGTTTCGGGAGTTTTTCCATAAAGGATTTAGTAGCATAATATTGTCCTGGCTAAGGGCAGTGCTATTTCCTTCCCCAACCCTTTATTTAAGTGCTCTGGTTATGGATGAAGTGTGACATAAAGCAAGTTTACATAACAGAGCCTATACCACATAATCATACATTACAGCTGGTGATAAAAGAAAAATAAGCTCTTACATCTGATGACTCTCTAGAAAGAATTTAAATTACAAACCTAACCTGAAACTCCTGGCTTTTACTAGACTATAGATCTGATAATATCCAACTGGGACATATAAATGACTACATTTAGAGTCAGCAATTGACTCTTAATCAAAGCTTCATGCTACTTAATCTGAGATGTTATCACTTTTAATCATCAGTAGTTGATATTTTCATATAAATACACCTTATGTCTATACATGTGTGCTTTTAATTTGTCCCCAAAGTCCTATTAACTGAACAAGTAAAAGAATCATTCTATCTCATAAAATGTTCAACTTCTTAAAAATGGAAAACTTTAACCAATAAAGCTGTATCTCTTAGTGGTGGTTTAGGAGGAAAGACAGCACACTCCTCTGAAAATCTGGCTAGTATTAGTCTGCCATATGCTACGTGGGCTTTTCCTGCTCTATAGATGACTCCCAACTGTCTTCTGAGAAAAGTTCACTGTCCAGTTTCTACTTGGGAGAAAACAGGCTCAGAAATGCTAAACAACTTGACCAGCATTCTGAAGTTTCAGAGCCTGTTTCATTTTTTCCTTGATTTTACTCAGCGATCAAGGGCTTTGCACTAAAAATCATCAATGAATTCAACATGTGATGAAATAAGACTGGATTTCATAGGACAAATACTTTGACAGCGCCAACCCTAGTGAGTATAGGAGAATATGCTCTGCAGTGGACAATTTCAGAAGCCAGAACGCCTTCCACAGAGACAAAATATAGGTGACTGACAAGGAGGAGGTTGTTACGTAGCTCCTACTTTCAAACACAATCATCGCCGTAACGTGGCCTCCTCCACAGTGAAATATGCAGCTCTGATACGCTGCAGCAAGGGTTCAAACAGAGACGTCTTGTTCAGGACCTATTCCTGTGGGACCGTGTAACCATGCAGCAGGGATTACAGACCTGACCAGTGACTCATACTCTGCTGTGCGATCTTTCCTCAGTTCCATAATACTCATTTACAACTGCGTGAGCCAAAGGTGCATCTCCTTCTCAGCACTACCTTGGCTCCATTCGAGACGGATCGGGGTTTTATTTTCACTTGGAATTTTAATCTTTCTTTATAAAAAATGTATATGCAGGATGAAAAACTTACCTAAGAAAAAGAACTTATTGTAGATACGTAATTTCTTTCCTTAAAACATCTTGATTATACAATAGAAATTTCCTAAATAAAATTTGGGGTTAGATTTTGAAAATAAAAACCTCTGTGGAGTAAAAGTAATTCATTTGCTCCACTCTACCTCCCCCCAAGGAAAATAAAACTTCACGGAAGATTATTTTAGTACAGGTTATGATTTTTGTTGGGCATTTGAGACGTTTTCATCTTTGTCTTTAAACATAGGAGCAGTGATAATGCTACAGTGATTTTGCATTTTGAGCACCTAATACCAAAAATCTTTTTCACACAGTTATTATAAGGAAGAGAATAAAAATTGTATTTTTTGTAGATAAGTGATGTAGGATGCTTAGCTCCCGAGCACTGACATATTGATATTAGAATAGATATCGCCTACCAATCGTCAATGAGTGATACATAATTTAAAACAAAGGATGTGCAACAGTTTTATTATTAAAAACAGGCTTCTTTCATCCTCTCTAGAAACGTAGTAAACGTAGTAAAGCACAGGGGACTCAGCGGTCATTTGCTGGCTGCAGCCAGCTGTGGGCGTAGCCCTGAGTCAGGACGGCAGAGGACTGGCTGGGTGGATCGGAGGCCCCGCCCCGCCCCGTCCCGCGCTCTGCCTGTTGCCCCGGTGTCGCCAGGGCAACGGACGCCAGGTCCCGACTCCTGCTTCCCGGAGCGGCTCGCCGGAGGCGCCCCGCCCTTAGGCATGGCCGAGGACGCGCCCAGAACGCAGCAGTGCTGGAAGCTGGTCAGGAACCTCGAGGCCGCTATTCAGCAGTTCCAGTGCCACCCCAGGTGACCCGCTTGCGCAGCCCTGCCAGGCAGCTCGAGGCCTGGGCGCTACAGCTTCGCGACTTAAGCGGCCGACTCCGGAGCTCAATCGCCAGGGTCCAAATCCTGCCCATCCTCTCCCAGGGACTGAGTTGGGCAAGGTACTTAACTTCTCTGTGCCTCAGTTTACCTCCTCTGGAAAACAGCGATGACAAATAGTGCCTACTTCGTAGATCATAGGGAATATTAAATTAGCTAATCTTAGTAAATGCGGGCCGTACATAAAGGGCACCCAGTCCCTATTTTTATTCCTTGAGGCTTCTATCATGAAATCACACGGATTAGGTAGTTTATAAATAAGCTAAACTTCTTCCCCAAGAGCCTGAGAAGTCCAGGATCTCAGCATGGCAGATTCGGGGTAATGATGGCCCCTGCTTCCTAGAAAGTGCGGTCTGGCTGTGTCCTCCGATGGAGGAGGAGGAGGGTCCTCCCCACTTCTTCCACTCCACCCCCGCCTGCTTTTATAAGGGCACTAATCCCATTTATAAGGGCCCCACCCACCTTCATGACCTTGTCACCCCCAGAGGCCCCGTCACCTTGGGAATTAGTGTTTCCACACGGATTCTCTGGGGGGCACATGCTGAGACGGTAGCAGTGCCACTTACGTTCGACAACATAATTGTTATTCCTTGCCAAATAACCCTTCTTTGCCACCTGTGCTCACTGATGTTTATTTGGATAAATGTAAAGGTGATGTTTCTTGGAAAATGTATCTTTCTTCCTAAACATCTAAGTATATCAGCAAATAGCCAGCACTCTGTAAGCTGCTCTGAGTATTAAAACCCCCCAAGGCAAGGCCACGGGGGCCAGGCGGTGGTTCAGAAGAGAACCACTTACACTTCGGCATGTCCAGGTGAGAGCGAAGGTCCATGGCGGATCAGCCCGGGGGTGGGACAGACCCAGTGGACAGTCCTGCTGAGCTCAGCTTCCGAAGCTCGTCTGTGTTAAATGGACACCGTGGTAAAAAGAGGCAGGGTATACTACACGCCCTGATTTAGTGATGGCCGTGAAAAGCAGGTATCGGACAGAGCTCCTGGTAAGCACCAGAGTCCCACCGTGTCCAGCTTGTTCCTGTTGTTTGCTCACTGGAATAACCTCTTCCCGAGCGCCCTTGGCATTCCGTGGTGGAGCAGCTCCCCAGCTCGATGCTCCGCTGACACCTGACGCTCAAACAAGGAAACACAGATGCCTGTTTTGGTTTCTCTTCACCCAAAGTGCTCAGAAGAGCAGGTTGGTCCCCTCGTGGCAGGGACAGACTCGAGTACTGACCAGAATCGTAGAACCTGAGACCTGAGTATACCAGGTCACACTTAGCAGCCCAAGGCCTGGCCTTGGCGAAGTTTACACTCTAGGCAGGAACCAGTGACAAATTGTATAATACTAGTGCTTAAGTGCTAAACAGAGACAGAAAGCAAGGAGAGACAAGGGCAGTGGAGGCTGTCATTGCAGATGTGGCGGTCAGGGAGTCCTCCCTGGGAAAGGTGACACTGGGGTATGGACCTGCAGCCTGGAGGGGGAGCCTCGTGGGTACATCAGAGGACAGGCAGAGAAGGCAAGAAGTGGATAGCAGGGTCCCTGGGCATCCCGGGAACAGCAAGGAGGCCACAGTGTGGCTGCAACAGATGGGCAGGGCCACTCGTGGAAGTGAGGTCAGAGGGACAGGGATTAGCACTCAGGGACAAAGGGCCTTAGATCACAAAAGGACTTCCGCACTTACTTTGAATCAAACGGGAATCCAGGGGGTCGCTGGGTCCCAGGGCTGATTAATGTTTCTGACTTCTTTTGCAATGGGATTACTCTGACGGCTGATCTGATAATGGACTATCTATCCTGAGGACGAGGGGAGAAACAGGGAAACCAGGGAGGGAGCTGATACAGTGTCTCTTAAGAAAGGTGTTGCTGGGGGAAGCAGCAGTTGGAGGTGCTGAAAGACAGTCAGATTTCAGATGCGTGTCGAAGGCAGGACGGGGGCTACTGATGGCCCCACACTGTAGGAAAGGCTGCACTGCACAGTGTGTGTGGCCTGGTTCCCCGGGAGGTCGGAATTGCCATGAACTGGGTTGGGGAAGATAACGGGAGGGACAGCTTTACAGCGAACACTACCTTGGGGCATGACCTGTGTGACTATTGGAAATCAGTCCCTTTAAACTGCTAAGTATGTAGTTGGCTATATGACCCTGAAGTTGAAAAGAGAGGTCCAGCTTGGGATATCAGTCTGGGCATAATTAGCACCAAGATGGTGTGTTAAAACTGTGAGATACAGTGGGATCAGCCGGGAAGCGAGCATGTGTACAGGAGAGACCAACAGACCGTGGCACATCAAAGTCTGATATTCTTTGAGGAGGAAGAAAAGGAAACACTTTTCTTTGTACAATGCTAAGCAGTACGTACAGCTACTCACACTTAATGCTGTCTTCATTGACTATTCACTACAAGCATTTGTTAGGGTGGGCTATTCTAGTATTCAGTGGGAAGTGTTGCTGCATTCTTTTAGTAAGTATTCACAGATCTGTTTCTGTAATAAGGTGATGTGTTAAATTTTGTTTCTAATTTATTAAAAACAGAGCTGTTGTCTTTAACATAAACCATAAGACTGGTCTTTATGCATAACCTATTCTTCAGAAATGGAATTGCTGAGAATATAAAGAATTTGTCGTGATGTGGACTTCCATTCTAGGCAGGGCATTGTCATCTAAAATTAGAGACATTTGGAATTTGAAGGGAAGCTGGAGAATGAACATTTGTATTTCATTTAGATTCTAAATGAGACAGATATTTCTGAAGCAATCACACAAAAAGTTAGGACTGGGGGAAACCTCAGAGTCCTAGGTCTGTCCACATTAGGATTTAGACAAGGAATCTGCCCCTCCACACTTATTTTAGATGAGTTATTTACTTCTTAGATCCTCAGTTTCCATACACTCAAACAAGAATGTATCTCTCTGATTAGACTGTTGTGAGGATTGCTACAGGAGAAAATGTGGATGTTAATACATATGTCTTAGCAAAACACAGGGGACAAGTTAAGACTCAAAGAGGTACTAATATTGCTTTTAGACTTTCCAGGGGAGGTATCTATAAAATCATTGGACTCGATTTTAAATATTGTATTGTATTATTGCAATATTATGACAGCAGAAGGAATAACTGAAAATATTATTCCAAGTTTCTAAATCATATACTGAAGATAGATAGATAAACTATAAAAATGATCCATACTCCATAACTTTACCATGCACAATAGGTGTTTTGCTTAAAATAGTAAGGAATAAAAAAATACATGATCGAATTTAATGAAAAATGAAGTTGAATTGGAAAAAGGATCCACTTAGCACTGGGGCAGTTAGAGGAGAGTTATTTCTAGACAAGAAGGGTGAGTCACTGAGGTCTTTTAAATGTAGAGCAGTGTCGAATATAAAGAAACGGTAAATTCAGGAGGTTGTTTGTATTTATTATATTGATGTAGCACTCTGAATCTGCACAGGATGCAGGAACCTCATCAGGGATTTGAACAGGTCATGCTTCCTGCTCCTTATTAAATATTAAGAAGATTTTTCAACCAGTAAAAGGTGGGGCAGTGGTAAAAGAAGACCCTAAGTAGCGGAGTGATAGCAGGTGCAGAAAGCAACCATGATACTCAGGTCTGAGCAATAGTGAGTGAGAAAGTAAGTAAGAATTTAGAATCCCCCCACCAATGACTGAGATAAGGCCTCTTTGAGAGGACACACCTGCCACTGAAACTTACAGCATGATGACGGCAAAGAAACTTGCCTGAGGCTGCCACCCTCACTGGTCTGCAGGAATGCCTTGCTGATCTAGGAAACTTGCTGACAAGTACACATAGTCTACCATCCTTTACTGAGCTGGGGGAACCTCGTCTTCATCCTCAAAGGCCTCAAGTTCTCAAAAGTTTCACCATTTTGTTTGGGTTGTTGTGTTTTTCCATTAAGATTTACTCTTGAGCCGGGGATTTAGCTCAGTGGTTCCACCTGCCCCACAAGCGTAAGGATCGGAGTTCAATCCCCGGTACCGAAAAAAAGAAAAGATTTACTCTTGAGTGTGGAAACACCAAGAGGCACTTTAGAGAATGCCCTGCATTCCAGACAGAGCCTTTCTTGATTCCACTGCGTCCCGAGACCCAGCTGTCCCTGGGTGATCAGACGTAACTGTGCATTTGGTTCAGTGGCATTAGGACTTTCAGCTAGGAAAAGATGGCGTGATGGTTATCAGTGCCTCTGTTGGCCAAATGTCAACTCATCTAGTGCAGTGGAATCCTTGTGTTTTCCTTTGGGACCATATTCCCCTAGGGAACTAGGGCCCCCCAACCATCAATTCATAAAGTGCTAAGTCAGAAAGCAGTCGTGCTGGGGATGTTATTAGGTGCAACAGCAACAGGAGCCTCTTCCAGTTATACAACTTGATTCCGGAAACTGGGGCTGTAGCAAAGAGAGCACCATATACTGATTCAAAGCATCTACTGGAAACTGTAAGACAGAATTGCATACCTTCGTGGATTTGCATCTCATGTTATAACTGAATCTTCAGTAAGCTATTCTACTTGTCCCCTGGGACACCAGCTTAGGAGTGATGAATTCTGTGATGAGATCAGTTAACTCATGGGCCTGAGACCATTTGTTCACTTCTTTTGTTGTGAAATAAGTTCCTCGATCAGAAGTGATGCTATGTAGAATGCCATGCCTGTGGATAAGATGTTCTATAAGTTCATACATGGTGGTTCTTGCAGCTGCATTATGGTCTGAAAATGCAGATTTATATCTAGAATGTACTTCTGTCCCAGTGAGGACGCTGGGAGAGGCTCAAGGTTGTCAGTCTGAATCTGGGTGGCTGGATGTCCCTTCTGGTTAACACTGCCGAGGTGGGGACTCAGTGTTGATGGCTACTGTTGGCCAGTTAGACACTCAGTGTTTGGTGAGAAGCCAGGGCAGCTTTGGTAGGGAAAAGTGCATGCTGTTGAATTCCATCCCTGCCACCAGGGTCATTTTGTTCAAATGCTATGGAGCAAGCACTGGGATCGATGCAGAAATTAACTGATATCCACAGAGTGTGTCATTTTGCATTTTGTCATTTCCTCAATATTGAGCACTTTCTTTGAAATAGATGCTCTTTGGTAAGCATTCATATGGGGACATTTATAGACTGTGCCCATTTTTAAGGTTCATATATATAGCTCTGTAGGGAATGGGGAAGGGGATGTTACCAGGACTTCTGCCTTGGGTCCTGGGCTCCTGTGAGCCAACACAGCCCAAGACGAATTCAAGAACAGACAGAAACGAGACTTAGAGTGGAGAAGCTGGGTCTTGGGTTCTGGTCAGTGCTGCTGATGGCAGCAAAGACAAAGGCCCCCAAGTGCATCAGTATTTATTGAATACAATCGTGGAAAGGAATAGGGAGCTAGGGAGCTTTGAAGGCAGTTAGTGAAACACTGCCATGATGGCACCAGCCAGGGCTGTTAGGGAGTAAGCACCATTTATCTTGCTTGGATAGAACAAACTCAGCACTGGGACCGGGTGCAATTAGCATGCAACCCATCGGGTCAGTGAGAAGCCATAGTTCAGGGAAAAGGATTTTAATTGGGGTCACGCTGACCTCAGCTGCACTTAACTCAGCAGGGCCCTGCCACTTCACAGACCAGGACTTAGGGCTCTGTGACAGCCATTAGCAAAGGAGCAATCCTAGCCCAACTTGCTAGCTGACAAGCCCGTTTGAGTCATTCAGGGCTTCAGTCTGACTCCTGGTATAAAACAATACAGCCGAACTATGGAAGGCAAGAAGCAGGTGCCACTCATAGCCCGCTAGTACTGGGCAGGGATGTCTGCTACATAGCTCCTCCACAGATTTTGTTACCCATCTCAGTTTTGTTTCTTTCAGCTTCCTAACCATGCAACTAACACTTTAGCAACTGCTCATAAATTAGTATAGATATGTACTTCTGGTCATTTCTCATTCAGAAAAAGTGGACAACCAAATGTACTACTCCAGGTTCTGTTCTGTGGGAGGACTTCCCTTTGTGACTGCCTTTTAAAATCACTTCTGAACGGGGCTCTAAGACTGCTATGTGGTTGGTATCTGGTGACAGACTCATCTTTTGATCAGGGTGGAGTTTTTTCTTCCCCAGTCAATTGATTACAACTTCCCATGAGGCCATATGACATAATCTGAGCCTCTCCTTGTCTTTTATGCCACTGACACTTGTAAAAGGTACAGATTCTGCATGTTGTAGAATGCTCATCTCTGCCTGGAGTCACAGAATGTTTCCTTCTACCCAGACTTGGGTCATCCAGTGTCAGGAATGCTACATAAATGAAGCCATCCTGCTGTGTCCAGTCTTTTCCCCATTAGCCTTGACTTTGAGGAGTTGGTGTCTTCCAAGGTTTGCTACTTTAAATTTACCATTCTTTCCTTTGGAATAAATTCCTATTTTGTTGGTAAATATTACAAAATTTCCTTTTAATAAGAAACCCATGCTGAGCAGTGACTTCTAAACCAGTCGCCTCTGTGGTGGTTGCCAAGAGGTGATTCTCTTGTCATCATTTTTATGCACTTACTAGAACCTCCCATTACAATTTACTATTTTTTTCATTCAGTCATATCAGTATAAATTGCTGGATCCTTTTTTTTTTTTTTTTAAACCGGGGATCAAACTCGGGACCTTGTGACTATTTTATTTAAAGGGTTAAGATTTGATACATTCACCCTTTATTTCAGGGCTCAAATTGTCCTAGATATGCCCAATGGGAGTCTCTTCAATCTAGTTTCTCCATCATTTTCACAAGCCACCATCACTTCGGGGGCACATGCTCAACTTCTGGCATAACAAAATGTTCCAGGCTCATTTTATACTTTCGCTTTTGTATAATATTAAACTTTCATCCAGCCTTGTAGGCACCATCTCTCCAAGGAGCCTTGGAGCTAGTATTTAGAAGCCAACATCTGGTGTGCTCGTCACTGCTGTAGCAGGTCTTGATTAGAAAAAAGACACATATCTATACATATATGCACTGTAACTGCTTGTATATCTAAGTGAATATTTATTTGTAAAGCATGCATTTACACCAGACTTTCCAGCTCCATCACATTGTCTCTGCACAATCCCTAGCCTATTCCTTTTCTTTTTTCTTTTTTCTTAGAATAGCTGAAATTTTTAATCCTTTCTTTACAGGTTACTAGATTGCTTTTGATTAAGAAAACTGTAGAAAGTTAGTAACTGCCACAAGTGAACACCAGGTGGTGGCACGTGTCAATTTTCCAGAGTCCTGCTTTGCGGGGTGTCTGAATGCACTGCTCGAGGTCTCTGCTCACACTTGCTGGAATCATTTGTAGAAGATTTCAGTCCACAGGTTGCTTTTCCCCATATTTCTTTGTAAACTCTTCAGCATTCTTACAGAATTTTTTATGGTCCTTAGAGTATTCTTCAGCTAGGTCACCCCAGAGTGGCTGCTCGGGCTGGGGGTCGTTCACCAGTGCTATGAGGGACTGGATTACTTGCTCGGTCTTGGTCGCTGGCTTCCAGTTCTCAGCCCTAATCACTGTCAGGCAAACCTGTCCTTTTTCATCAATGTTTGGGTGATAGATCTTTGTTTTAAATGTGCTCTTCAGTGGTTTGAATGGGTACTCTGCTGGAAAGTTGATTTCGATTCCAAAGGCCCCCTTCTCACATGGAGGGTTGTCAGGAACAATAAGCCCTTGCCAAGTCAATAAATTAGCTTCATCAACCTGGATGTTACAGAAGTTTTTCATTCCACATTTGCGGATCTCTTCAAGCTCCTTCATCAGCCTTCTGTTGGCCACCATCTTGGATCTGGTGCTGCTGCTTTCCCCTCCTTTTCTATGTTTATAAACATCTTTTCTGAAACTGAAAGACTTGACTTCTGTCCTCTTCAGTGCATTCACTCACTCCATGGAGCTCTCTCTTCTGCCTGCACCTTGAGCTGCTCCTCACCTTCCCCACGCTGACCCTCATCTTTATCCACCAGGCCTGGATGGCTCCCAACCTTTCTCATCACCCACATCACTGATCACTTTGATTCTTCCACTCTGAGAAGGGGAGAGAATGGATGGGAAAATAGGATGGAAAACAAAGTGATTACAAATTATTTGTAGCAGGTAGAGTCCTGGGGCTGAGGATGCTGTGGAAGAAGAGGTGGAATCTGGGAATGTTTCACTGGCCCATATGTGATGGGTGAGCATGGCATGGGGGTGGATGGAAGAGGAGCGGAGGCTTGCCACCATATCAGCACATAGGACATATTTTGTTTACTTGTTCACTGGGTGTCAACCCATTAGGATGTAAGTTCCACAAGAACAAGGAGCTTGTTCTCTGTTACTATTCTTGGGGCAAAAAAGAACACCCGGTAAAGAGTAAGTATTCACTTGTTCTGTGTTAAATGTATGAAGCTCAGTTAGTTTGAACTCAGATTTTCTAAGTCAGAAAAAAGGCACTGAGTTTAATTCGTTGGAAAAAGAAGGCTATAAAAGTCCTTTAGGTTAGCGACACAACTGGGACTTTAGTGAGATACTTCAAGGGACAATTTGAGTGACAGGTTAAAAAAAACAAAGGCTTAGAGACTTTTAGTGACTTTAGAGAACATCTACATTATTACCTAAGTTTTGTGGGACATGTGTTTGAAAGTATAATGGTGTGTGTGTGCGTGTGTGTGTGTGTGTGTGTGTGTGTGTGTGTCTCCCTGGGGACTGAACCTAGGGCTTTCACACTGAGCCACATCTATAGCTCTCTCTCTTTTGTAAGTTTTCAAGTTGCTCAGGCTAGGCTTGAACTTGCCTCCCTCCTGCCCCAACCTCCCAGAGTGCTGGAAATGAAGATGTGTACCACCTTAGCCCACTTAAAGTACGGTTTTATTTTTGTTTTATATCTCTAAAAGATTCTACAATATATCATAAGCGAGAACTTCAACATTTCTAAAATCCAATTTCTGGGGAAAAACAATCCCACATGTACAATTTGTCCTTAATAATAGCTGTTATCTTTGAAAAGAATCAAGAACACTTTTCTGAAATTTTATGTCATCACCCCCTAAAAACTGCTTTTCTCCTTTTTTGTTATAAACAACTTTGGAAATATGCTTATTTAATTTTGATCATATGACTCATTCATTTCTATAGTGCAGCACAACAGCACATTTAATTTTAAAGTGAGAGTAGTAATTTAGTGGTAGTTTTCACAAAAGACTTTCAAAGATGGTTCTATATTTTAAGTAGGCAAAACCTTAAATAATGATAATCTTTTCAGTTGATCATTGTGTCTTGAAAAGTCATTTTCTTGTCGCTGAAACATGACACCCAACACGTGCAAGTTAAAGGAGGTTTGTTGGGCTCACACTTGTAGTCCATAGTTGGTTGGCTCCAGGACAGGAAGGCGTGTTGCAAAGGCCTGGGTGAAGGAAACTTGCTCACATCCTGGTAGCCAGGAAGCAAGCGAGGGTCGCAGGGAGAAACGGGGAGGTAGGTACATCCGGGTCACTCTCCCAGCCTCTTCCAACCGCGCCCTGCCTTCCAACCCCGCGTTCAGCTAGAGCACCCTCCTGATTGGATCATCCTTCAAAAGCCCCACCTACCACCTTAGCACTGGAAGCGTTCACAACATTCAACCTAACAAGCATTTTCAGAGGCCAGATACTCGGTAGACTATGCCGTGTTTGAGATCTCACGCTACTGAGTTGCCAATAGTCTTCCTGTTACTGTTCCATGGCCTTTGGCAGAAAACAAAAGATTCCTCGGTCAGAAACCAAGGATTTATTTATTTATTTATTTATTTATTTATTTATTTATTTATTTTGGACCGGGGATCAAACTTGGGACCTTGCGCTTGCGAGGCAGGCGGCAGAACCACTGAGCTAAATCCCTGGCCCAAGAAACCAAGGATTTTTACCAAAAAGCAATGGCCAGAACCTCGTGTTCATTTGTGCTGAACCCTTATGCTGTTCATGCCATGATGATGACGACGCAGAGGACTCGTCACGGATGACTGCGTGCACTGAATTACACTGAAAGGGGAGCCCTGGCTTGGGGCTTCGCCGTCTTTATAGAGACAATGACAAGCCCGCCCAGTGTGGTGCCACACGCAGAGGCTGGGACACGAGGTTAAAAGTTCGAGACTAACCCGGGCAACATAGCGATAAGCGTGTCTCAAAAAAGTTTTTTTGCATGTAGCTCAGTGTGAAGGCCCCGGGTCACATCCCCAGTACTGGAGGGTGGGAGGCAGGCAATAACAAGAGAAAGATATGGCTACATCCTTCCAAGTTGCTCACTGCAAACATAGCTCAGAGAAATGGTCTACAGAAAGACTAGCGAGAGATTTTGTTCTTGGCGTATCCAAAAAGAATGTGCAGGGATCCTCGGGGCTCCGCTGTATTCCCATGAGAAAAAATGTAGGCTCCTACAGTGAATTAGACAAAACCTAAACTATAATTTTCTGTGAGGAAACACCAGAAAGTTTGATTTAAATTCAGATGTTCCTTCCCCACCCAGATAATGCTATGGACAAGGTCTGTTATCATTACAATTCTGCTGAGTGTGTGGAAGCTGAGAATTGAGAGGGATTAATTGGAAATTTTTTTGTTTTTTTTTTTTGGTACTGGGGATTGAACTCGGGACCTTGCGCTTGTGAGGCAGGCGCCGGAACCACTGAGCTAAATCCCCGGCCCGATTGGAAATAATTTTGAATATTAAGAACATTTTTAGTTCAAATTAGCCTTTCTTAGTTGAATATTATTATGCTTTCATAGTTTTTCCCAAACATGATAAAAAAAATTATGTTTCAAAACGTGACAATGAAATAGTGCCAGCCACCATCAAAGCATCAAGAATGGGTCATACAGCTCAAGGGTTTGCTAGGTATCAAGCACCAAAATGCTTGTAAGTATTACGTGACTTAAGTCTTACAATACATGTATGAAATAGGCCCTATTGTTTTCCAGGAGAGGAAACTAAGGCACAGCAAGTTAAGTTCCCTAGTGTCTCACAGTCGGAGTATCTATCAGGTAAGATGTTTTCAGCTGTGGTTGTTAGGGAGAAGAAGTGACCTACTTACCATATGACGTCACAGGAAGGCAGAGGTGTGACAGGGTACAGAGCTGGCTGGGTCAGTAGTTGAACAAAGCCATCCATCACATTTATTTCTCTCTCTCTCTTTTGAAAGCTCATCATCTAGATAGAAGCTCTATCTTCTATCTGGTCCCTTTTGTGGGGGCACAGGAGAGGACTGTGAGGGTTTTTGGCATTACTTAGACACTTGATCGTATCCGGAGTCGAAGTGGCAAACTCTCTCTGGTGCCTTCTAGGTAGGAGTCTAAAAAGGCTTTCTTGAAATCTCTCCAGCAACCTTTTCTTCATGTTTCCTCCTCCAAACCAGGTTCTACACTCACCCCTGGTCATTCGTCACCAAGAAGGACGGGATTGCCATGATGGATTAGACTAGACAGGATCTACTCCTGGGGCTGGGAGTGTGGCCAACATCCCCTGAGTTCTGTGGGGGACACTTCTAAGGCTCTGCAGCTAGCAAGAAGAGAGTTGTGGCCATGGGCATCCCTATCAGGGCTTGCTCCAGCTGGTTAGCAGGGGAGGAAGGAGAGGAACACAGACAGTCTTAGAGCCTGTGTTGAAATCTGATCATTCTATTTGGGATTTCCTGTTTCGGGTTTTTTTTTTTTAAGCTAAGATTTTAGAAATGGAGATTTGTAGTAAGTTTGGTCCAACTGACAGAGAGAGCATCCAAAAAACTGGCTTTCTTACTACTGTTTGAGATGACTGTCATTAAGGGGCCATGGCAGGGGTTTACCAAGACTTGTTCCCCACCTAATTAGACGTTTTAGGAAGAGAATTTAACAATCAAACACAAGCTGGTGGTATGAATATCTTAAAGAAGCAGGTCTCAAACCTTTTGGTTGTAGAATTTCTTGATATTCATAAAAATTATTGGCAGCCTCAAAGACCTTTAATTTATGTTGATCATATCTATTGACAGCTGGTGTATTCAAAATTAAAAAGAAATCAAATATATAATTACATTATGCAATATAAGGATAAAGCAATTGTGTATTAATATAAAAAAAATACCTTAAAGAAAAATTATTCATGTTTTCAAAACCAAAACTTTAATGAGAAAAGTGTTTTTACATTTAAAATTGTTTTACATTTAGGCAAATTTTTTTCAGGCCTGTCCTAACGGAAGCCGGCAGAATTCTTTATTGTGTCTGTTGGGCAGTCACAGAACCTGTAGCCACTGGGAAACCCTGCTGAACATTTGTGAGCAAATCACAGTGAAAAAGACAAATTTTAATTTTGTTATTAAAATAATCTTGAGCTCGTGGATTCCCTCACAGAATGTTCTAGAGCACCAGGGCTCCCCAGACCACATTTTGAGAACCACCGTCTTAAAGTGTTTCTGCCGAGTGAGCCCGTGCATAATTTATAATCATTTCGAGCGCTAGCACAGGTAATAAGAGCACACCAGCTGCTAAGAGAATACACTTAAATTGATGACAAGAAGGTGGAGAAGGTGGAGACAGGATGAGCATTAGTGCAGCAAATGTACCACTGCCCAGGGCACAGATGAGCTGACAGAGTCCTGAAAACTCTGACTCAGAAGCAGATAATTTGGAAGATTCCCCCTTTCCGCAGTCCTCATTTAGAATATGACTACCCCAGAATACTATATGCACTAACATATCTTCTAAGGAAATATTTTATAACACAAAACACATTTAATCTATTTTTTTCAGAAATACCATTTCAGATGATCTGAAAGTTGGCTTTTTCACCACAGACCATGCTACTCAAACACATGCCAGTGAAATTTTGCCTCTGAAAGAGCTGAGTGCATCTACACAACAGTTAGTGCAGGTAAATCTGGGCTTACTTTGAAATTTCTTTGATAATTTTTGGCATTACTTGTCTGCATGTATCTCTCATTGACAGAATTGAAATGATGAAAATTTTAATATATTAGCCTCTTTGACCAAGTGAGCTGAATGATGGTGGTAGTTTTAAAAATGAATATGAGCTGTGGTTTGTATTTATGTCATGCTTACATATGTTAACTTGTTTAATAAAATGTTTTGTTACTTTTTATCCTTTTGACATCTGTGCATTTTCTATTTATGACACTTTAAAAATTTATAGAATTTTTTTGCATATGTAGAGAGAATATAGAGAATAGTATATGAAAAAACTGTTCCCCGTCATAGGGCTTTGTCAGATTTTGCCATATTTTGTTTGGTATATTTGGATTGTCAAAGAATATAACCTTTCCTATTCATCATATATCAAGAGTGATTATTAAAAGCCCTAACTGATAAAACTGTCACATGAAGTAACATACTATTACAAATACTCTTATGTACTTTGTTTTTATTTTCTTGCTTAATATAATTTGAAAATCATTCTATATTGGCACATAAAGACTTCACTCATTTATTTCACAAGTACATCGTGACACAAAATGTACATCATGTATTTAGCTATTCTTCTGTTGATAGACATTTTGGTAGTTTCAGGTCTTTTACTGTGACGAATAATCCTGCACATATTCATCTGCCAGGAAACCTCTGGTGTAAATTCTTAAAAGTGGTATTTCTGAGTCAGCGGATGTATGCGTTAGTCATTTTAAGGATATTGCCAAATTGCCCTCATAGAGATTGTACCAATTTACACTCCCAAGGGTAGCTTTTGGGGTTGTCTCTTCCAACATGCTTGCCGATTTACTGTCTTCTTTCATAAAGACAATTTTCAGAAATGTTTTATGCTTTTATTCTCTTATCATAGATGTGTCCTTGTGACTAAGTTTTGGTCAGTAGGATCTCTGTGGACATAGTGTGGCAGCTGTTGGGGACCTTCCTCAAGATACACTTCACATGTGCTTGTGGCCATTTCTGTTCCCTCGCCTCTATCCCTTCCTTCCCACTTCCTTCCATGATGACTTTGTCTAATCCTAACCGCATCCATCCCAAAGGCCCGCTTCTTAACACCACAGTGAGATGAAGTTTCCACTCCCTCAATACCTCACACTCGGGATTAAACTCGGGAACTGAGGTTTGAAGGGGGCAAACCGTATTGAAACATAGCACTCTGTTAGCTTTTCTGGTTTTGTCAAATTAGCCACCATTTTGAAATCCTGGCCACCAGGAGATAGAGTTGCTGGAATCCCTCATGTACGTCACAGTCTGAGAGGTAAATGTGGCCAGCTACCAAGCTGTATGCCTCACTGTATCCTTTTCAGTTTTTAGGTTGTTACATCCCTTCAGGTGGATTTTAGGTTCCTTAAAGAATTGGTTCAATTGAAGTTTGAGGAACGACTTACAGAGGAGTCTTCTGATATCTCCATCGCTCTATATGACAGGATCCTAGAGATGGAAAAACACAGCCCACAGGTAGATGTTCTCTCGTTTTTTTTTCTCCTTAAACGTACACTGATGTTGGGCTTCCATGAATGTGTGCTGCAGTTTTGAATTCAGTAACTTGTGACACATACAGTAACTAATATTTACAGCTTTGTTACGCGTCAGAATTTTTTCTTGTTTGTTTTTGTTTTTTGAGACAGGGTCTTGTTCTGTAATTCAGGCTGGCCTTGAACTCATTACGTAGCCCAGGCTGGCCTCAAACTCAAAGCAACCCTCCTGCCTCAGCCTCCCAAGTGCTGGGACTATAAGTATGTGACACCATACCTGGCCATGTGTGAGGAACTTTTCTTTTAATTCTTTGTCTATTAACTCGTTAATCCTAACATTTACCTTCTAAAGTTGGTATAATTATCTTTTCTCAGGAAACAGAATCACAGAAAGTTTAATTAACTTGTTCAAGGTCACCATTTAAACAGCAGAGAGGAAAGTCGGATTTCAGGCCAAATAGCTTATGCTTGAGTTTTTCTTCTTAACCACACTTTCTTCCCCTAGTACTGGGGATTGAACCCAGGGACTTCACACCCTCAACACACTCCTCCCTTTTAGATTTGAGACAGGGTCTTGCTGACTGGCTAAGTTGCCCATGCTGGGCTGGACCTTGTGACCCTCCTGCCTCAGCCTCACAAAGCACTAGGATTATAGGCGTGCACCACCGCACCTGGATTAACCACAACTTTATATGATGTTTTTTGTGCCTTGATGGCTCTGTAGGAGCCAAGACATGAAAGCTGATGCTTCAGGGAACTTTCTAGAATCTTTGGTCTGGGCAGGATACTTATCTGTTATTATTTCCATGCTAGAAAGCAAGAAAACTCATGTTTGGTTGACCACAGCATACTAAATATGCTAAGTCTTTTAAAAAAATTTACCCTGTAGGCCTTTTGAAATCATCAATCGGAAATCCCGTTAGCCATGATCTGCAGGTTATTTAACTAAGTCTAGATAATAAGGGACACAATACTCAAATGGAATTCTTTCTTGCTCAAAAGCCCACTTGTTGTTTATACTCCATGTTAGAATCAGAGCTGATATCAGAATCAAAAGCATTTTTTCAAAAATGTACTGTCATTTTTTTCCTACCTAAATAATCAAAGTATCTGATTAATCTGAAAATGACTCTAGTTTATAGATTGGCCACTCTAGATTTCTTTTCATGCACACCTCCCATCAAAAAATATAAAGACCAGGGCTGGGGATTTAGCTCATTGATTCCACCACCTGCCTCAAAAGTGCAAGGTCCCAAGTTCGATCTCTGGTACCAAAAAAAAAAAAAGTATAAAGACCAGAAGGAGAGATGAACTACAAAAAGATGCTGCTACTTTTTGCTGTTGTTGAGACAGGGTCTCACGGTGGAGTCCAGGCTGGCCTTGAACTCACGATCCCTCTACCTCAGCCTCAGATTTTGCTACTTTTCTATTTCAGGGAAGGCATTCAAGTATTTAACCTGACATATAAAATAAATTAACTGTATGTATTAACTTTATTTCTGTTGCTTTTGGTTAGATGTAAGTAAAAGTCAACTGTATTATAATAGCTTAGTGTGGGAGAAATGATTATAAGTTGAAATTCTTGAGAGGTTGTTGTGACTTTGATGGTGGATTTTCCAGAGCTCCTCCCTAGTACGTGTGAGCCATATTTGGAAACACACTGTCGTGCTTACTGTATTTATTTTTGGTTTGCAGAATGAGGAGAACATGAGAAAATGCTTTCAGCAGCAGTTAGCTGATGCCATTGCTGTCATCAAAGGGATGTACCAGGTGGGTTTGGTGCTGCTGAGAGCAGGCTGGTTTAGTTCCTGGGTGTGCGCCAGTGGGCTCACCTTGAGTTTCCCACTCATTCTTTGTACCTTTCAAATCTGTTTCCTTGATTTTCAGGTTATCTCAGAGGGTTCAGGCCTGACGCTGCTCACGCTCACATTAAACTTACCAAAATAACATTTTATGGTGATAACCCTCCAGAGACTGCAGAATTTCAAGGTGGTATCCCGGCTCCCCGGCAGGTACCAAAGTACCCCAAGTTCGTCTGGTGAAGATGCAGTTGGAGAGAAGATCAGATGATCCTAAGAGTGTTCGTGGGGCCTGTGAGAAATTCCAGGGAACAGTCTCTCTCCCTCCCTCCTTGTCTCAAGTGACAGTGACACATCCATGGGCCAGACAGTGGGAAAGTTCATACTTTCAGTGATTGTTTGGGGACTCAATGAAGCGCTCAGGCTTCTCCTAGTATTTCATTCCAACATACTTCCATACATAAGTATTTTCTGCCCACAGCTAGTCATCCTCTGATTACATACCTCGTGTCACAGCACTCAGCACATTTCTATTCAATGGTGTGGCTGTTTGTTAAATGTCTCCGTCCTGTACCGACCACGGCCTTGTAAGGGTGGGGACACTGTGTGACTTCTCAGCACCGAGGGCGCCCACCAGTAACCCTCAGCTCCTGACTGCTGAGTGAGTGAATGTCCTGTACCGGAAGCTGACGCTGCTGTCGCACATTGTGTGCGCTCCCTTTCTCACTAACAGAAGCCTTTCTGATTTTGTGGAAGCAAAACTGCGGGACGCTTTCCTTTCCGGCTTACTTTCCTGCTGTGACAAGAGCATAGGGCAAGGTCAGGTCCCTGACCAGCGGGGCCTGAAGGTCAGCAGGCTGTTTTGGAGGAAGTGGGTCTTCTCATGAAAAGGAAATCATGGGAGGAAATAGCATTTTTTTTCTGTGTGTGTGTTTTTTTTTTGGTACCGGGGATTGAACTCAGGACCTTGAGCTTGCAAAGCAGGCACCGGAACCACTGAGCTAAATCCCCAGCCCTAGCATTTTTTCCTTTGTTTAACCTTGTTCTGTCTCCTTCTGATGCTTGGAATCGCTGCAGCCAACGTAAAATCAAGGTCCGAGACCTGGAGCATTGTGCTGAGGTGGCAAAGTGGAAAGCTGTGGCCCTGGGTGACAGGTGACATCACTGGCCAACTAGAGTAACTCAGGACTTGCCTGGCCCTTGCCCTTTTCTTTCATGAGATAATATGTTTTAATCAGTGTTCAAGACCCTGTGAGTTGGCTGCTCAGTTACTTACAGCTGAAAATATTCCAGGGCAGTTATCTGCCGACACTGTGTACCCACCTGGGTCTCCAGAGGTTGGCACGCCTTGCTCCTCTAGTTCTGGCTCCAGCTAATGCCCCTCCCTTTGGTCAGGGTGGCTGGCTGATAAGCCTGGTATGTGAGGCAAAAGGAGCCTTGCAGCTTTGCCCTTATGTTCCCAGAACGCCCACATTCGGGCCACACCCTCTCAGAGCCCAGCCTAAGCCATACTTATAGGTATCTGGTCTCCAGGCTCCTCCAAACCCAGCCTTCCTATCAACTCAGCTCAGGCTCGAAACAGGAGTGGAGAGGCTTCCAACATGATGCTGCCCACCAGCCAATTAAAATACTTCCACCTGAGGTTACAGGCCTTATGGAGCAGAGACGAGACACCCTGCTGTTGCTGCCCTCATTCCTTGACTCACGGGATTTGTGAGCACAATAAACAGTTGTGTTTTATGTTGCTGTGTTTGGGGAGATACGTTATGCAGTAGCTGGAGCAGTATCCGCACACCTCAGCTAGCAATCTCTCAGTTAAATTTGTTGGACAGAATACTTTCCTGATGCTTGTCTGCTAGCACAGAAGAGTAGCATCCTGATTAAGAGTGAGCCCAGTGTGTGTTTTAGGGCAAGGACTCTGGAGCCAGACTACTGTGGATTGGAATCCTGGCTCTGCCATGTGATTACTTAGACAAAGTACTGAATGTCTCTGCCTTGGTTTCCCGTGCTGTCAAGAGGGGACTGTAAAAATACCGACCTCACAGAAAGGCTCTGAGGGTAAAACACATGGATCTTTGTGAAGCACTTAGAACGTGGCTACTGCCCTCTAAGCATTTATTAAATAAATGAACACCTTCACATAGGCAAGGTGTGCTTCGGCATTGGTGTCTCTGTCTGCCTCTGAATTACTTCTAGTGTTTAGGTTTATAGACTCTGTCCACCGACTGCAGCTATGATAGAGTATCCTTAAGATACCTGTCATCATCATCAGTATTTATGGTGTTGAACCATAGGAAATTGCCATTTTTGGAACTGAAAAGGTCAGATATCAGCAATTTCATATGGTTAGACTTAATATACAGAATTTTTAAAAGTATATAGATATTTGTCAATAAAAGACAGCAACAAACTTCATGAATTATGTGCTGGACACGGAGCTTACGGAGATGAAGCTGGGCTGGGTAGAGGGGAGGGGAGCATACACCAGGCACAGTGTGGGTTGACCAGTGCTGAGCTGGGCACGCAGGCAGGCTCTGCGGGATGCCGCAGAGAGCCAGTTATTTCTGCTGGTGCGTTTCGGGAAGCCTTTGCCGAGGAGTGAGATTTCTGCTGGATTTTGAATTAAGTGCTCAGTTGACAGGCCAGACATCAAAAGGGATTCTAGGTGAGCAGTCTAGTGCATGTTAGAATGTTTTGGTGGCAAGCAAGAGAAATCTAATTGACGTTGTCCTTAGCTAAAAGGAGATTGTACTGGTGTCCCTAGGTAGAGTCACGATAGTATTTCAGGAAAAGCTGGGTCTAGGTGCTCCAGTCATTAAGAAGTTGTTCGTCCCCTGAGTCTGCCTTCTCTTCTCTGACGATTTAATTTCCAAACATATTCTCCCCACATGAGGGTAAGCTTGGAGAGAGTGTCTTTCTAAATGGAGCCTACAAGGGTCAAGACTGACCCAGATTGACCTGCCCTGAATAGTGGCCAGTCCTGCGTCACGTGTCCATCCCCAGAAATAATATCAAGGACAGGGTTCCCCAAGTGGAAGAGGGATTGTGTTATCTGAAAGAGAGATGCTGATTAGGTAAAACTATTCGGGCAAAATAGCTTCCCACTTCCCACGTCAGGGGACTGGGAAAATAGGGCCTGGTCAGAGAACTCCACATGCTCAGGCTATGGCCCCCAGCTGTATGTGTTTCCTGCCATTCAAACTGAAGTTAAATTAACAAGCTGGTTCTTTTGTTTTATTTTGTTGTTCCTGAAACAGGGCCTTGCTATGTAGCTCACTCACTCTGGCTTCAAACTTGAGAGCCTCGTGTTTTAGCCTCCCAGGTGCTGGGGTTGCAGGTGTGAGCCACCAGAGCTGGCCACAGCTCCTGAGTTCTTGACATGATTCAGACAGTGGTTATATTAATAACAGGAGTCACTGCTCAGCCTTGCAGTCTAAGCTGGTGTTCTTGCTAGCTAGAGGTTCGGCTCTGTCATGTCTGTGCATCTACAGCAGCACCTGTGCCAGCTGGCTTACCCAAAATGTGGTACCCAAACAGCAAGTCTGAGCGGCTTCTGCCTGGTTACTCCCCATAGAGTCAGTGCACAAAGTGGGTATTTGGTAGCTGAGGATAACAAGTCTCAAATCAGTGTTGTGTCTCTGAAGTTACTGTGCAGATAGCAGGGAGCACCTGCAGCTTCTAATCAGGAGAAAGAGAGATGCTTTACACTTCAGGGTGGTTGCTTCTGCGACAGTGTTAAGAATGCACTGGAAAAGTGGAGACACGTGCAGTCTACAGAAACGGGCTCCATGACTTTGTTCACCAAAGTCCCTTCAGGATGGTTCTTGAAACAAAAAGGTTTTTAATATGTATTAACAGGAGAAAATTTTTGAGACAGTTGGAAGAATTTTATTATGTCAATGATAGTAAGGAACTATTTGTTAATTTTGTTAGGTATAATGACAACATTGTGATTGTGTAAGAAAAAAATCCCCAATTCTTAGAATGCACCTTGAAGTGTTTCGGGAGCAAGACATGGAGTCTAGGATTCCCTCAAGAATATTTAAGCACAAACTAGTGGATAAATATATGGCAAGCTATTATTGTCTTCTCTATTTTGGTTTATGTTTAAAAATTTCCATCACAAGTAAATACATTTTTGACAGTGCAAATCAGCTACTGAACCCTCCCTCATTGTGTCAGCACCCTTAAATGTACTCGACCTACATTTTGTGTTTCATAATGTCTGCATCTTCCTCACCGAGGATCTGATAATGCTGGCTTTCCCAAGTGCCGGCTCTCACGATAAATCATTTGCTTTTGAATTTCATGTCTTTTGACTGTGAATTCATATTTCTAGGAGAGTTATTTGAGGCCCGAAATAGAGGTAGGTTTTTTCAGAGAACATCTGTGTTTGTTCGTGTGAGACCCCTGGGCCTATGCCCACTTTGTAACCGATTTCTCAGGATAACATATATGCGAGAACATTCGATGTATGAACATGGGTAGCTGACTGTGTGGGCCACTTTCCCGCTATAAACTCAGAGGTCTTTTCTCCTTCCCCTCCCCTAAAGCCAGTTTCTGCACAGGACCCAGCGCCAGGATAGTGGAGTGAGAGTAGGTGAGGATTCAAGCAGCTTACTTCTACTGCGTTCTTTTTCATTTTTCGTTTTCATGTGTACGTTTGCGGTACGTGATGTCTGCATTCCTCGAGTGGAGCTGGTCCGTGTACATAACACATCTCCATTCCCTTTCTTCATCCTCTCCCCCTCACACACGTCTCCTGAGCCCCTTCCCATTTGAGGAAGATCCATCTCCCTACTTCCTATTATCTTTTATTTTGCTCTTTATTTATAATTTGGGTTTCTCAGGTAAGAGAACCCATGTGAAATTTAAGCTTATGTGACTGATTTATTTTACTTAATATTATGGTCTCAAGGTGCATCCATTTTCCTACAAATGACTCATGTTTATCTTCCTTATGGCAAAGCA